AGCCAGATTTCCATCTGGTATCATCACCCTTCTCCTTGAAGAGCTTTTAATATTTCTTCTTGCGCAGATCTAATAGCGTTGCATTTAAACGTTTTTGTTTGACTTCCTTTTTGAAATGTGTTTTAGCTCAGTTAAGAATTCTTAATTGACCGTTTTCTGCAGTACTTTACCAAGTCTCTTCACTGTCTTCTAACTTGCATTTTTTTCTGACAAAAAGTCTGTTTCCTCAACTTTACTCTTTTACATATGAAGGATCCCTTTTCCCCCCTCTGAGTTTTAAAATATAATCTATTTATTCTTGGTTTTCAGCTATTTATTTATGATGTGCCTTTGCATGACTTTTTTTTTAAGTTTATTTATTTTGAGAGAGAGTAAGCATGAGTGGGGGAGGGGCAGATAGAGGGAGAAAGAATCCCAAGCAGGCTCCATCCTGTCAGCACAGAGCCCGATGAAGGGCTTGAACCCACAAACAACGAAATCATGACCTGACCTCAAGTCAGACGCTTAACCAACTGAGCCACCCAGGCACCCCTTGCATGACTTTCTTAAAGGTCATTCCACCTGGGGTTCTTTGAGATTCTTAGTTCATTGGGTTCATAGTTTTATCAAAGTTGGAAAATTTGGGACTATTATTTTCAACTTACTCATTTCTTCCGGGACTTCAATTACATGTATGTTGCGCTGTTTAATACTGTCTCATGGGTCACTAATGCTTTGTTCTTTTTTCTGTTTAATCTTTGTGCTTTGTTTTTGATCACTTCTTTTGCTTCGTCTTCATTTTCACTAATCTTTTCTTTGCAGGGTCTGTTCTGCTTTCCATCCCACAGTATATGGTTTTCATCTCAGAAATTCTAGCTCTTCTTTTTTATATCTTTCAAACCTCTTGATTATGCTTACATTTTTATTTTTCATCTTGAGGGTTTTTATCTGGATATTAGGACTATTGGATCTGTTTCTATTAAACTTTCTCCTGTTTATGAACTATATGTTCCTACTTTTATATATGCCCAGTAATTTTGGTTGGGTGGTAAACACCATAAAGTATAGTTTTGGGTTGCTGGAGTTGTTTTAATCTTCTTTTCGGTAACGTTGAATGTTGATGTCATGGGTAGGAATTATTCTAAGCCCTGTGCAACCTCTAGGGATTGTTTTTGTCTATTCTTTACTTGGAATCAGTTGAATCCTTTCAAGGTTTACATTAAAGCTCTGTTAGATCCAGAGCAATCTTTAGTCTTGAAAGATTTTATCTCTATCCTTCTGAGGATTTTACCTAATGCTCCATGTATTATTGCCGAATCTTTTCTATCAGGAATAAGTACTATTCCCAACCCTGTGCAACCGCCAATAATTTTCTTGCCTGTTTCTTTCTAGTGGCTCTTTGTCAAATTTGAGTAGTTTCTCTCATTCATGTGCATATCAGTACTCAGCCAAAGATTAGAATGGGTCCTTCTGTTCTCTGCCTCTGAGACTATAGCTACATTGGCCTCCTCTAACATAAATAAACATTAATATTTGTCTCCTCAACTCAGTAACACTGCAGGGCTCTGTTTGGATCCCCTCTTTGTGCTGTAACCAGTGAGCTGGTACAATTATAGGGTGCTTTATTTCTCTTTTCTCCAATATCCAACTTGTTCTCCCTCTGGTCCAATGTCTGAAGTCCTTTCTTCTAAATACTCGAACTGGTTTTCTAGCTGTATAGGATGATAATATAAATCCTGTCCTTGTTACTTTATTTGTCCTAGAAGTAATGTGGCTATTAATTATAGTGATTTTTTTTAGGGTCATTAATAAGAGGGCAACATTTGGAATGGCTGCGTAGGCCTGGCTAGTATAATAAGCTGATAACAATACTAAAAGTTTTCCAAACAAAGTTCACAGTTTACCTGGGACAGTCCTAGATGAAATCTAGGGCCTGGTGATGAAAGCAAGCAGATCCTAAAGTAAACCCTGATCACCACAAGGAAAATAAAATGGAGCATTTTATTCTGTTATTTCCCCCTGGCATCCCACCGTGAATGTGACTCTCTGAAAGCTCAGAAGGGACGCAAGCCATCTCACCTAGAAAAAAAGGTATTTACGTATCTGTATAGCCACATGTCTCCCTCCTGTGCAACCACCAGAGACAGGTCTTCAAGTACTAGCTTTACAGAAAGGCAAAATGTGGTTCTCAGCAACACATATTAATGGACATGAAAAAAAAAAAAGGACACATGAACACTTATGTGAAGAAAACCAGCACCTTAAAGGAAAAGAAACAACAACCAAGAAGTAACACTTGAGGAACCAAACTTAATAGAGGACACTAATGAAAACTTTGTTTTGAGAAGATACGGCCTCCGTTTTTTCAAAGAGGGTGAAGGTGCACTAGTCTCCTTATCTCTGGTATTGTTTTCCCTGATTTCAGTCACCTATGGTCAGCCTGCTGACCGGAAGCAGATCCTCCTGATGAATCTTCAGACAATCAATAGCCTAACAAACTGTTAAAATGCCTAGTCATTTACCTCACTTCATGTCATCATGTAGACATTTTATCTCACAGAATCACAAGGGTGAGTACAGTACCAAAAGATTTTTTGAGACCACATTCACATAACTTTTAGTATATTGATACAATTCTATTTGTATTGATACAATTTTATTACTACTGTTAATTTCTTACTGTGCCTAATTTATAAATTAAACTTTATCATAGGTATGTATGTATAGAAAAAATATATATAAGGTTCAGCACTAAATGTGGTTTCAGGCATCCACTGGGGTCTTGGAATGTGTCCCTGCTGATAAGAGAGGACAACTGTACTATGAAAAGAAAATTTTTTAAACTGAAGAAAAAAATCTAACACCAAGGGGAAAAAACAGGGTGAAAGAAGGGAACACAGTTGAAGATCAAATTTGAGTTGGAATATTAAGCCAAAGAATATGCCCAGAATTCATAAAAGAACAGAGTCAAAGTTTTTTTTTTTTTAAAAAGCATGGATAATAGATTCAGAGGTTTAATATTCCAATTAAGTTCCAGATGAAGCAAATGAAAGAATGAAGAAGAAGAACTAATGAAAGAAATAGAGAAAATTTTTCCAGAGAAATATATTGCTTCTGGTTGAAAGGATCCTTCAATTGTAGAACAGAATTAATTTTTAAATTAATCCTAAACACAAATAGTGATTTTTTTTTAATTTTTAAAAATGTTCTTTACTTATTTTTGAGAGAGACAGAGCGTGAGCAGGGGAGGGGCAGTGAGAGAGAGAGAGAGAGAGAGAGAGAGAGAGAATCTGAAGCAGGCTCCAGGCTCCAAGCTGTCAGCACAGAGCCCGATGCAGGGCTTGAACCCACGAACCGTGAGATCATGATGCTTAACCGACTGAGCCACCCAGGCACCCCTCATATTTTAAAGCCATAAAAAGAGAAAAATCCAAATATTTTCTAGAGAGGTGGGGGGGAAACCCCAGCTTATTCTTTAAAGAATGGGACTTAACAGTACTTTAAAAAGTATTAATTTGAACTAAGACTTTTATGCAATAAAACCAACATTCAAATTTGAAAGAAAAACAAAGATATCTTCAGAATACAAAGTACTCAATTTATTAACCAGGCCAACAGACCCATTCTGGAAAAGTGAACTGAGCATATATTCTGGCCACCCCTCCCCCCCCCCCAAAAGTGGGTAGAGAAGGACAGGGAAAAAGGAAGTCTAGTTCCATATTAACATTTGAATTTCAGACTTCTCTTGGGAAATGAGCTCTAATTCCCACAGGACCACTGTAAGCTGGAGCTAACTGGCTACTTCTTTAAAAGAGCAAAGATGGTTAGCTGCAGTCACAGTGGCCTATTGCCTCGGTCCTATTTGCTGTTGGTGCCCACCCCGCCTCCATAGGCATTTGAGTTGATCTAAGCCTTAAGCCAAAGGAATTCTTATCCAATAAGGTTATATGCATCCAGGGGTGACGTGGGCATCCTTGAAAATATCCCTGCCATACCCACAGCAACACAATTAATAGAATAACATCTACAGCATTGCTTCCCAAACATTTAAATTATTCTCCAAAGCATTTCCCAAAGGTAGGAACTGACGGGCGGTGTGCTGTACTTGAAAGCCAAGGACCAGTGTGCTTTCTAAGCCATAGCTTTCATGTTCCCTTGAGAGTCCCTGCAATCCAGACAACAGAACCCAGGTTTGCAGCCAAGACACACTCTGCCACTTAACTAGCTGTTGGCCTCGAGCAAGTCACTTCATCTTTCTGAATCTCATTTCTTCACCAGTAAGATGAAAATGACCTACAGAGCTAGACGGGATAAGAGGTAATGCATTTAAATTTTTTTTTTCAACGTTTATTTATTTTGGGGACAGAGAGAGACAGAGCATGAACGGGGGAGGGGCAGAGAGAGAGAGGGAGACACAGAATCGGAAACAGGCTCCAGGCTCTGAGCCATCAGCCCAGAGCCCGACGCGGGGCTCGAACTCACGGAGTGCGAGATCGTGACCTGGCTGAAGTCGGACGCTTAACCGACTGCGCCACCCAGGCGCCCCGAGAGGTAATGCATTTAAAACACTCTGCATCAGAAGGGGTGTAATAAATGGTGATCTGCTTCTTAATTTCTCAGGTGGCGAACGGGGGCTGAGGTCACTTAAAGACTCGTCAGATTTTCTAGCGTCTCCCCTGGCTGGCCGGCATCTGCCCTCTGACTCAGGTCAGGCGTGGAGCCCGTGGCCCCAATGTGCTTCTAGGCGATCGCACTCTGGTCAGACCCTGCTCCTTCGTCTTGGGCGCCGCTCCCGAGAAGGTCACTTCGCTAGTTTCCCGACGCGGCGCGGGACGTCCTCCTAAGTCTCGGGTCCGCCGCGGCCCAGAGCGAATCCTCGCGAGCGCCGTGCGTGGCAGCACGGGGTTGCAGACGCGGCGGGAACCGCTCGGGCGTCCCGGGGAGCCCGGAACCGAGCCTGCCACTCGGGGCCGGCCAAGTTCTTGGTCGCGGCCGTGCGGCCAATCAGCGTCCGCCGGGCCGGGCTCTGCTCCTCCCTCCGCGCACGGGGCCTGCGGCGGAGTCGCCGGCGCGGCCAGCTCCGGGTGCTGGGCGGTGACATGGTGCGTGGCAGGATCTCCAGGCTCTCGGTGCGGGACGTGCGCTTCCCCACGTCGCTGGGGGGCCACGGCTCGGACGCCATGGTAAGCGCTGAGCGACCGCGGGTGCCCTCTCGCCGCGAGGACGCCCAGGCCCCGAGTAGGCGCGGGCAGTCCAGTGGGTCGCGGAAGTTCCCCACTTTCGAACTGTTGCGTTTGCAAAGGCGGAGGCCTGGAAGGGGACTAAAAGTTACCAGAAACTCTCCATCCCCCGGGGCTTTTTCTTTTTTCGCATTTTTTTTTTCTTTAGACGTTTAATATTTCCTGTTTTTGCATTTACGATCCGCATTTTGCTGTAAATAGTAAAATGCCTAATATGCCAACGACAGCAAAGTGGTTTTGTTGAATCCCCACCAACGAAACCCTAGAACACATTGCTGGCTTCTCTGTACTCAGAGGGGGAGTTCGTGGTGGGGTACTGGCTGTTTTGGGTGGTGATCCTGCCTCTTCCACAACTTGCGTGACGTGGGAAAGACGCTTAACCTCTCTGGGCATCTTGGGCCCATCTGTGAAATGGAGTCACACTGGCTAGGAAACCAAACAAGCTGGTAGTAACTCTGGGTCATGTGAGGGGGGGCTCTTATGAAATTACCAAAACATTGTTGTAAAGGATTTGCCACTGTAGAGAGTTATGCAAATTCCCGTCTTTGGAGATACAGTAAAGGCACAGGCTTTGACCTAAATACTGAAGGGCGTTTTTGCTTATTGAGAGTGTTTAGAGGGACTCCTCCCACCTACCACCGTCTAGTGCAGTGGTTTCCAAATACAGGAAGGCATTTACTGTAGAATAATTTAAGAAATGGAATTTGTCTCTGGGCCCCAGTGTTTTATGACCTCTGGGTCTCCCTGAGGATCCTCATGTGGGAACACATGCTGGGAATTGAGAAACATCCATGTTAGGGTAATGGTTACTTGCTCCCTATGTGGAGGGAGAGGAAGGAGTACCAGAGGACTCTAATTCATCCTATAATGTTGTGCTTCCTAAGTGGGCGGAGGGCAGGCTGATATCAGTACATGACCTATGCTCTTTGTGTACTGGAAATATTGTTAAAAAATAAGTTTCTCATTAAAAAGTGCCAACCAAAGTTCTGACATTTAAAAGAACATCTTTTAGGGATGCCTGGGTGACTCAGTTGGTTAAGCATCTGGCTTTTGAGTTCGGCTCAGGGCATGATCTCATGGTTTGTGAGTTCGAACCCCACATCAGGCTTTGCACTGACAGCGTGGAGCATGCTTGGGATCCTCTGTCTTCTCTCTCTCTCTCTCTCTCAAAATAAAGAAATAAACTTAAAAAAAAGAATGTCATTTATTTTGAGATTAAGTTATTTCCACTTTTAAAAATCCTTATGTGTTCTTATATTATGGTAAATGACTTAAAAAAACACCCAGTTGGCAATCCTTGGTGGATCTCCAAATGTTTGACATTTCCCTGCCTTGTAAAATTCAAACACCTGAGCTAGTGCAACCACCTTTACCTCTCTGAGATGTAGCAGCTGTGGGTAAACAACTCATTCTCTCTAAGCCTCGGCTATCTTCTCCATACGTGAGTATGATAGTATCTACTTCGTGCATTAAATGAGATGCCTGTAAAGTGCTTGACACAGAATAAGCCATCAAAAAGTGTTGGCTGTAATTACTATTTACATATGAGGAAACTAAAACAGGAAGGGGCTCTGGCCTAGATTTTTCTCTGCTTTGAATTTGTGAAGTGTTAAAGTAGCCTGGTGTACTGTAGAATAATTTAAGAAATGGAATTTGTCCCTGGGGCTGAGTGGTTTATGTCCTCTGGGTCAGGAGAGGTTATCTAATACCTGTATTGCAAACTCATAAATACTTAAGTATTTATCTTCCAGAGATATGGGGTGTGTTGTGTGCTGATTCTTAGGTGCCTTCTTAACAGAATGTGCTATTTTGCACCGCTTGGTGGTACTGCTTCCCGTGCCCTCACGGCTTGCTGAACTCAGCAATTCAGCTGTGTTCAGCACTTAGCAGCAGAGTGAGCCTTCCTAATCAGAAGTAGGATATATTCATGAAGTCCCCAACTCTGTTAGAGGTAAAGGATTCCACTGTGATTTCTTTTTTTTTTTTAATCGGCCTTTTAGGAAAAGTGGAGTGCTCAAGGCTGGGTGGTACTTACAAGTTGCTTGCTTGTCTAGGCACTCATCAAGTTTCCAGAAGCCCCGGGGCTATGGGCTCACAGCCCAGCTCCGGCTGACCCCACCACTTCCTACGCATACTTTTCCTCTCCTTTCCCCATTGTCTGCTGAGCTCCCTAGAGTGCCTGTGTCAGACCACTCCACTCCTTTGCTGCTCTGGCCCCTCTTCCTGCACCCCCAGCAGTTAGAAGACTGCCCACTGCATCACCCAGAAGACTGAAAACAAATGCACCCTTAACCCCATCTCCCCCCATTAGTCTCCAAACCAACCCTCTTGTCTTTCTTTCCCTTTATCCTGTAAGTCCTATCCTCCCAAACTAATCTATTCTGTGTCCCCATTTCCACCCCTTTTGACTCCCAAGGCCCCCATTCTTCTCCCCTCCCTCTCCATCCAGTATTTTCTTCTTTAGTCTCTTTTTCCAGTGGTTCCTTTTCTGTCCCACATAGACAGGGATTCCCATTTTGGAATCACCTTTCCTTGACCCTAACACCTCTACTTCCTTCTTTGTCTGCTCCTTTCCCACTACACGCTAAATTACTGGTTCATTCCTGTTGGCCTCTGACCTTTACGTTTACTTCCTCCTTCATCTGTAATCAACTTCTGTCTCCTTCCTTCTCTTGGGATTGACGTTATTTCTGCTTCCAGGGTCCTTACCTCTGGTCTGCATGTCATGTTGTCTGCTGAGCCTCCTCTTTCTGCCATCATTCTGCCCCCTGGCTGGCTGCTGCTGCTTCCTGTACTGATCCCCTTCTTCCCTCTGCAAAGCTCAGGCTTCAAGGCTGCTCCCTGCTCCCTTCCCTCCACTCCTCCTCCACCCCCGTCTCATTGCACACTCCCAGTAAGACCCCCCCCTCCCCCCCAGTGTTGACGGCTTCAGTGCCCCCTTGTAGGCCAATGATTCCCGGATCTCATTTCTGGATCTCCCCTCTCCAGAACCCAGTGGTCAAACCAGGGTGTCACCAATCCTGAAACAGACTTCAGCCTTTCCCTTTTCTTTTCTTTAAAAAAAAATTTTTTATTTGCAAGAGAAGAGAGCTCAAGTGGGAGAAGGGGCAGAGAGAGAGAGAGAGAGAGAGAGAGAGAGAGAGAGAGAGAGAGAATCCTAAGCAGGCTCTGCACCATCAGCTCAGAGCCCAGTACAGGGCTTCAACTCATGAACCGTGAGATCACAAACCTGAGCTGAAACCAAGAATGGGACACTTACCCAACTGAGCCACCCAGGCACCCCAGTCTTTCCCTTTTTTGTCTCTTCACTGCCACTGTCACGCAAGTATTCTCTCCCCACTCCCTTCGTGCCATCCCCCACTGCTGCAAGGCTCCCCATCCTCAACCTACTGACTCAAGGTTCTATTTTCATCATAAAGCCTCCTCCAGCCTTGAGTGCATTCAGCTGATGGTGCTCTCTGCCTGGCTTCCTTAGTCTGCATTTCTCCCAGAGACTTACCATGTCTTGCCTCATGTTAGTAGAGTTTTTGTAACCCTGGCTTCTAAACTGTAACTTTCTTAAGGGCATACATGTCTGTGCCAGGTCAGCCCTCTGCACAGTCTCTGATACACAGCTCAGCAACCCTTCACACCCAGTGCCCCCCTCCGCACTAGGCTTTGATGCCAGACAAAGACCTCCTGTCCACCGTGTGTGCCTTCTCCTCTTCCCTGAATATGGGGATTTCAATTCTGCCTCTTTAAACTCAAGTTTCCTCATCTGTCAGGGATAATGGCACCTACTTTATAATATTGTTGTGAGGATTAAGTTAAGTAGCTTTTAAAACAGTGTGCCAGAACAACAAATGTTCTGTAATAATAACAACAATAATAATAAAAACAGTAATAAATTGTCATCGTCCAGTCTTCAGTAGTTGCACCGTGCATTCCTTTTTGATGCATTTGGATCTTCTGCCTGGCTTTGGGGGTCTCCATTATCTGCCCCCATACCCCCTATCCAGGCTTGTCTCCATTCACTTGCCACCCAGTGCCTCAGGGGCCTTGTACTCCTCTGTCTCCCAGGTTTTGGGGTTTCGTATTGCTCCCCCTTGCCCACATGCCTTCATCTGTCCCTTTGTCCATCCCATTGTCTTCATCCCCTGCTTCCCCTCCTCTTTCCTCTTGCCCTTCTGTGGTACTTCTGGCTGACCACATATTAGCACCTGACCCTGTACTGTCCTAGAACTGCCCTCGCCTGGTTCTTGTGTGTTGGCTTCTTCTCCTCACTCTATGAGAGATTTCTAGAGACAGACTGGTTTTTTTCACCTCTGCATCTCCCATATTGACAAGTAGTGTTGAGTTTCATAATAGTCTGTCAGTAAACACTTATCAAAATACCATTGATAGTAGAAAGTTAAAAAACAAAGAACAGGCTAATTTGTTTTGAAGTTTTATTCTTTGTTTTCCCCCAGTGATCTCCTTGACCTGTGCCATTGTCTTTTCAGCCCTGCTGCAAATTGCAACAAAGATAAGCTCAATTTTCTGTGAGGCTTTCTGAAACCTTGGCTGCTTCCATTTGCAGCTACTTGTGGGGCTCAGTCAATTGAGTGTCTGCCTCTTGATTTCAGCTGCGGTCATGATCCCAGGTCGCTGGATTGAGCCCCACATTGGTATGGAGGCTGCTCAAGATTCTCTTCCTCTTTCTCCCCCTTTGACCCTCTCCCCCACTTATGCTCTCTCAAAAAAAAAAAAAAAAAACTAAAAAAAAACCCCAAACAAAACAAAACAAAAACCTTGTGAATAGAGCTCTGCTCAGACAGTTGAGAGAGGTAGTTTAGGTGAAAACTCCGGATTAAGATCTAAGCTGATCATCAGAAAACTCCGGATTAAAATCTAAGCTGATCATTGCAAGTTTGCAATTTGTCTAATTGCAAACTGACACTAAAAATGGACATGTTGCCCTTGTTAAAATAATATGGATCTTTCAGAAGGACTTTCCCTTTGTCCATTTAGAACTCCTGCAGAAAATGGGGTACACCAAGGGGTCTATTGAATTGGAGCTCGTCTTGCATGTCCCCTGCTGCATTTTTAAAAAGTTTTTTGTTTATTTTTGAGAGAGATAGAGCGAGCAGGGGAGGGGCAGAGAGAGGGAGACACAGAATCGGAAGCAGGCTCCATGCTCTGAGTTGTCAGCACAGAGCCCGACATGGAGCTTGAACTCACAAACCGTGAGATCATTCATGACCTGAGCCAAAGTCAGATGCTTAACCGACTAAGCTGCCCAGGCACCCCTCTATTGCATTTTCTATTCTTATGTGATGTTCTGAGGTGTACGTTTGGATTCCTCACATTTGCCTTGTGGGACGGGGTGCATTTTTCTTGTAGCACACAGACCCTGATTATTCGGCTGCGTATGTTGTCTTAGAGACCAATGCGGAAGACGGGCTCAAAGGGTATGGAATTACCTTCACTCTGGGAAAAGGCACGGAAGTTGGTGAGTTGACCCTTCTCTTAAGTTTCCAGAATGCTTAATTTGCACTTAGATTCCAGTGGTGACCTTACTTTTCTCTGTATGTACCTTGCTCAAAGTGAGTAAAAACAGTGTTTCATAGTTTGTTTCATTGGGAGAAAAGGTGGCAGAACTTGGCCCTTCTCCTTGCAGTCATCGATGGACTGCGGGAATATCTGTGAATCTCAGCCTGTTTCTGTCTGAGCTAGGCCGGGGGGCGGGGGGGGTGATGGTGGCTGAGGGACACCAGAAGGACCAACGGGCATTCATGTGGAGAGGCTTATTGTGATGTGCACAGTGGATCCCTCATTCTTCAAAGTACTTCACACCAAGTGGTTTCAAGTTCACTGCTTTTCATGGCAGAAGGGCCTCTGGCTGCCTGGGTTCAGAGCTGTCATTTGGGGAAAGCTGGTTGTGCAGGAGGCACATTGAGCCACGAGTGAAGTCGTTCTCTCAGAGCTGGAGAGAGCTCAGTGGTGGTCTTGAGGCCCCTCACATTTTAGAAATAAAGAAACAGAAATCCAGACAGCTGCTCAGCTAGCCCCACAGAACCCCCTACTGCCTAAAGTGCTTTCTTTCCACATTTAAATATAAGTTGTTTGTTTGATTTTTTTTTGAAGTACATAATCCACGCACAAGGTACAAAATTCAAGAAGTAAAAAAAGATGACCTTTGCCAGTCAATTTCCATGGATCATTAGGATCTGAAACCAAATTATGATAGTTGATGAGTGAGGATCTAGGAAGGAAACAGGTTCTCTAACTTTGGTGGTGATACGACAGCTCTTCCAAGGGTACTTGCACTGTCCGCTCTCCCTACATGTAAAGTGGAAGCCTTGCCCCACTGAAAGATTCTAATATTGTCAAGCAGATGAAAGGAGTGTGTGTGTATGTGTGTGTGTAGGAAGGACAAGGGAACCTTCTTGAATTTTAACAGAAACGATTGTGCAGTGTGAGGACAGTTTTTAACTTTTATTTTGTTTTATTTTTATTATTTTTTAAGTAGGCCCCATGTCCAGCATGGAGCCCAACATGAGGCTTGACTCCTGACCCTGAGATAAAAACCTGAGCAGAGATCAAGAGTCTGACACTTAAACTGACTGAACCACCCAGCTGCCCCTAGAAGGACACTTTTTTAAAACTTGGTGCAAGTTAGGGGTGCCTAGGGGCTCACCCGGTTAAGTGTTCATCTCAGGTCATGATCTCGCATTTCACATTTTGTGAGTTAGATTCTTGCCTTGGGCTCTGTCTTGACAGCTCAGAGCCTGGAGCCTGCAGCCTACTTTGGATTCTTTGTCTTCCTCTCTCTCTCTGCCCCTCCCCCACTCATGCTTGAGCGCTCGCGCGTGCTCTCTCTCTCTCTCTCAAAAAGAAGTAAACATTAAAAAAAAATAAAAGACTTGGTACAAGTTAAACAGAGAGAGGGTTAGTTCATTTTCCAGGAGGGCTGTGGGCAACTTCAGAACAGAGGTGAGGCTTTGAGATTCGTCTTGAAGGGTAGCTAGGACTTTGCCAGGTAGCAGGAGACTCAGCAATGATTTCCTGTCCCCCTCCCCATTAAGTCAACCATTTGCTGTTAATGTTTTTCCAAAGGCAGTGACCGCTGGCCACGATAGGTTTGTGAGCTGTGTGTCAGCTTTGCCCGCAACTTTAATGGTCTCTGGTGTAAGTTGAGTGCTTTATGCAGCTGCCTTCTCCATATTGCAGACCATATAGGGTGGCCCCCAAAGGTTGCGTAAAACTCAGCAAGCTTACAAAATATGTTATGGGATGGACCATTGGAACCACTCTGGTAATAGCCGAGACTTTGAACTTTGCTGAGTGGGGCACACAGTATGGGGACCCTGCACGTGTTTTGTGCTCACTGGGACTTGATATATATAGGAGATAGGAGGCTCCCCCTCTCTGGTTGCTGAGCTCTGTGCTTTGGGCCTTCATGGACCTCTGCCTCCTCCATTCCCATCCCCTCCCAGCTGTCCTGATGGACATCTCAGCCAGGGGAGATGCCATCTCTCTATGTCTATAATAAATGCTTCTTTTGCGGTGATGTAGTTGGCTTCCGGAGCCTTTTTCAGACCACAATATGACAGAACCCATTTTAACTTCATGGGCTTTTTAAAGTTTATTTATTTATTTAGAGAGAGGGAGAAAGGGGAGAGTTCACAAGAGAGGGGGAAGGGCAGAGAGAGAGAAAAAGAATTCCAAGGCTTTCTGCCAGTGCAGAGCCCCGACATAGGGCTCCAGCTCCTGAACTGCGTGTGAGATGATGACCTGAACCAAAATCAAGAGTCGGACGCTTGATCGACTGAGCCACCCAGGTGCCCCCGTTTTAGCTTTAAACTTGCTCCCTATTTCAGGTGATTCATCGCAGTCTCACTGAATGTGTTACATGGCATTTGCATTCAAGTTGAAAAAACATTCCATTAGCACATCACGGTTCTCCTGCACTTTTACCAGCTTACTTACCTGTGCATTCTTTTATGATTAGAAAAAAAAAAATAGTGCTTTCCTCATTACTGTGAAGGTAGTGCTTGTTTGCGTGTGTGAGAGAGACAGGAAGGGAGGGTTACAGTTATTTGTTTAATGTATAGAAGACACCAATATAGTTCTTTTTTTTTTTTAATTTTTTTTCAACGTTTTTAATTTATTTTTGGGACAGAGAGAGACAGAGCATGAACGGGGGAGGGGCAGAGAGAGAGGGAGACACAGAATCGGAAACAGGCTCCAGGCTCCGAGCCATCAGCCCAGAGCCTGACGCGGGGCTCGAACTCACGGACCGCGAGATCGTGACCTGGCTGAAGTCGGACGCCTAACCGACTGCGCCACCCAGGCGCCCCGTTCTTAAAACAATAGAAAAAAAAAGATGAAGAAAGAAGAATTTCTAAAGAGACAAAAAACAGCCATAAGGGTTCACACCAGCTCTCAGGCTCAGACACCCATGGTCATCCATCGGCCTTACTGACTTGTCCTTTCTGTGCCAGAGGGTGGCAGGGAGTTAGTCAGCAAGACGTGCCTTCAGTGACCAGTTTTTTTCCAGATGAATTTCCCACCCATGGCATCAAAGCAAACCTGAGGCAGACTGTCCTGTACGCTGGATGACCACCACTACTGAGATTTCTGTCGAATGCACCCAATTTTAGTTACCTTCTTGCAGTGCCCTCCTTTTGAGCAAGGAAAATCTGTGCTATAGATGAATACATTAGTGCTGCTTATGCATCTCTTAGACCTGTGAAGGGTGAGCTCATCCTCAACTTTGTTAAGGGCATTTTCCATGTGGGGCAAACCAGAGGTATGCTTCATCAGTGGTTTCTAGCAGCTGTCTCATCAACGAGATGGAGGTTTTAACTAGATGATGGTATATACCTCTTTGTGAGTTGCTGACTGGCTCTTCAGATGTCTTTAATCCTAGAGCACCAACCATCAAGGTGTAGAAGGATTCTGTCTTCTCACATTCTAGGGAATGCATATCTGAACTGGAATGATTCTATAGCCCTTAACAGAAGCCCTAGAAGAACATGCAATGGTTGCTCCAGACCTAATGCTACATTTGAGAGCAGGTGTGCATTCATGTATGAACACTGTTCCACATAGAAACCAGGCGCATCCCGACAGCTTGTTTCAGATAGGTCAGAGGTCTTTCTCCTAGGATCTGGAGGATAGTAAAACTGCACCAGTAGTTAGGAGAACAGCTATCCTATGAAATGACCTGAGTAATAATCACAGAAATGGCAACACCAAACAACAAATTTATCAAAAAAAATTTATAACAAATTAATTGCTTTGGGGCTAGATGATTTGATTATTTTGGTCATTTATGTGTACTAATTGTTTTCTAGCATGACTGAAGGGTAGAAGGGTCTTTCCAATTCAATCTGTTACTCTTCATCTGAAATAATACAATAAAGCCTTTTTAAGTAAAATACGGAAAAAAAAAAAAGGATGGTAATTCTGAGCCAAATTAAATTTGACCTTCAAATTACTTAAGAAAACATATAGTGGGGTGCCTGGGTAGCTCAGTAGGTTAAACATCCGACTCTTGATTCAGCTCAGGTCATGGTCAAACAGTTCATGAGATCTAGCCCCATGTTGAGCTCTGAGCTGATAGCATGGAGCCTGCTTGGGATTTCACACTCCCTCCCTCTCTGACCCTCTCCTGCTCATACTCATTCTCAAAATAAATAAACTTTTTTTCTCTTTTTCAAAATAAATAAACTTAAAGCGTAGTATATCATAAATCAATAGGAAAAAATTAAATCTTTAAGAAAAGTGTTTTCATGTACTTTAACATTTTACATGTGAGTATTTATTTCAAATTTGTTTCATCTTTAGTAGTGTGTTATAGTGTGACTTCAAGATATTTTCTATGCTTGACAGTAATTGGAAGGTACCTCTTTTTTTTTTTACTTTTATCTTTTTTTTAACTTTAGAGAAAGAGCATGCCAGAGGGGCAGAGAGAGAGAGAGAGAGTTTCTCATCCAAGCAGGCCCCAAGCTCAGCACAGAACCTGATGCCAGAGCTCAATCCCAGGGCCCTGGGATCATGACCTGAGCCAAAATCAAGAGTTAGATGCTTAACCAACTGAGCCACTCAGGCGCTTCCCCCCACTGCTTTTTTTTTTTTTTTAAATTTGATAAATCAAGTATCTTTATTCCTTAGGAACAATGAAATAGAGAAGTTTGATTTTGAAAATGACTGGACATTTGGGGCACCTGGGTGGCTCAGTCGGTTAAGCCGACTTCGGCTCAGGTTGTGATCTCACGGTCCGTGAGTTCGAGCCCCGCGTTGGGCTCTGTGCTGCCAGCTCAGAGCCTGGAGCCTGCTTCTGATTCTGTGTCTCCCTCTCTCTCTGACCCTCCCCACTCATGCTCTGTCTCTCTCTGCCTCAGAAATAAATAAACATTAAAAAAAAAAGAAAATGACTGGACACTTTATAAAGTGAACAAGAAAATATATTGGGAATAGGATTTAAATTTTCGTATCAAAAAATAAAATAAACTTTCATACCTATGGCTCAGTTTTTCAAATGGCAACCATTCAAAATGTGTTTGCTCTACTCAGATATTAAGCTCAGTGTATGGATTAACAGCTGTATTATATATGTGGTATTATTTATGACAAACCCAAAAGACATATTTGAGGCAGTATTTAAAAACATGTACCTTTAGGGGCACCTGGGTGGTTCAGTCAGCTCAGGTCATTATTCTTATGGTTTGTGGGATCGACCCCAGCATCAAGCTCTGTGCTGGCAGTGGGGAGCCTGCTTGAGATTCTCTCTCTCTCCCTCTCTCTGCCCCTCCACTGCTCTCACTCACTCTGTCTCTGTCTCTCTCTCTCTGTCTCTCTCTCAAAATAAATGAACTTTAAAAACAAAACAAAGCATGTACCTTTTGTATTTAAAGTTTCTTTCATAAAATCCAACAGTAGTTGTGGTGTTTTCATGTCTTAATTTATTGGCATCATACCAAGACATACCCAAGAATTGAATCCTTATTTAATAGTTGCCTGTGCTGTGAATGCCCTCGCCCACCATGTGCTTAACAAGGACCTCGGGGACATCATTGGTGACTTCAGAGGCTTCTACAGGCAGCTCACCAGTGATGGGCAGCTGAGATGGGTAAGGGACCTAATTTTTAAAATGTTCTTACAAGTAATATTACTAAGGTCTAAGACGTGCTTTGATTGCAACAAATGTGAAAACAGAGACAGGCTTACAATTTTAAGGTAAAACACTATTAAATTAGGGCTTCAACCATTTAGACAATCAGTGTTTTGAGGTAATTGATATTCCTTTCTGTAAGACTTGAATCTGGATATATTTGGATCCTGAGAGCTATCTCTGCCCTATGGACCTCATCTCTACTCCTTGAATGAAAGAAGTGTTCTAGACACTCTAGAAAATAAAGTATTGAATGGGCATCCTTTCTGGGTGAGAGGTAATGTGGGTGGCATTAGAGCTGGGGGAGGAGGTTATTAAAGCCAGAAACATAAGAGAAGAGCAAAGCTAAAAGATGGAGACCAGAGCACTTTTACATGTATAGGTCTATATTTTGAACCCTAAGTTCAAGGCATGAGAAGAGTGAGGCTCTAGAGAAAGGATTCTGTCACAGTAAGATCAGTCCAATAACTGGGACCTTGCCCTTGTCTCCCAACATCAGCTCTATTTTTTATGAACTCTGCTCAGTTTCTCATCCATGCCCAATGAAAGGCACAGGGAAGGCATTCTGTATGTTGCCTTGGATTTCATTTTTAACTTTCTGCAAAGCAAGTTGAACTTACTTTTAAAGGCATTCTCTTGAAGAAGTCCCCACTGGCCAAATCTGGGACAATTCAAGGATCAAAATAAATTTGTTAGTAATGGCTTATAGCTCATTGAATAACATAAGAATCCATGAGTTCATTCAGGTAGTAAACAAGCAGCTAGGGAAAGCTTGTCATTATAATAGAACAGAAAAACATAAAAGGAATGATAACGTTTGACAATCACTGTATTGCAAACATTGTAGCCATAACTCATTGAGGCAAGAATGATCAATGGATGCCCCAATTTGGGGACAATAGTAATCTTACACTGTGAGGTTACCATTTTCCCTAAGTAAGAGCCCAGTGGACGCTGACTTACCTAAGTGCTAAAAGATAGTAGCCCTAATAAAAAACCAAAAGGACATTATTGCTTACTTAGAATTTGTGCCAAAAAAGTATGACCTGGATCCCAGTCTGAGGAACACTGTTACAAGTCAACCAGCCCATGTGCTTTAAAAATGTCAACAGCATCTTGACAGCATTCTTGAAGAACAGCATTCTTAAAAAAATAAGAAAAACTGTTCCAGATAAAGGGGGACTGAAGAGACAGAACAACCAAATGCAATGTTCATAAAATAAAGTACATTATTGAGACAATTGGCAGAATTTGATTATGGACTGTTTTAGGCAATAGTATTCTTATCAATGTTATATTCCCTGAATCTGATCATTGTACTGTGGTTATGTGAGAAAATGTCCTTGTTTTTGTGACCTACACACAGAAGTATTTAGGGTTCCAGGAGCATGATATTTGCAACTTAAATGGTTCAGTAAAATCAATTGTGTATATATATTATGTGTGTGTGTGCACACACACACAATATATATATATATATAATATTTGTCTGTATATACATACACAGAAAGAGAGTTGGGGGTAATATACAGGAGTTTTTTGTACTGTTCTTGCAACTTTTCTATAGGTTAGAAACTATAAAAAAAAAAAAAAAAAAAAAAGCATGGGGCACCTGGGTGTCTCAGTCAGTTGAGCACCTGACTCTTGATTTTGGCTCTGGTCATGACCTCATGATTGTGAGATCAGGCTTCATGCTCAGCGTGGAGCCTGCTTGGGATTCTCTCTCAATCCCTCTGCTCCTCTCCCCACCCTGCCCCCAACCTCTAAAATTTAAAAAAAAAAAAAAAGTATTTTAAAGTATATTTAAAAAGCTTAACCTCTTTGTGAGCTTTTATTGATGGCTTTTAACTCTTGAAATGTGTCCCTGGCTAGGAGACCTAACTTTCTCTTTCATGTCTAAGAAATGCTGGTGTATTTTGCTTCCTAACCAGATTGGTCCTGAGAAAGGTGTTGTGCATCTGGCGACCGCGGCTGTTCTCAACGCTGTGTGGGACCTGTGGGCCAAGCAGGAGGGAAAGGTAACTCACTGGAGGAGCACTTGCAGGAGCTCTGTGGAATAATCCAACACGTGGCAGAGGACTAAATAGTTCCTCTACGAGCAGCCTTCTAAAGAGCAAAGACGCAGGCCTCCAAAAGCAATGTGGAAATTTGTCTGATGTGTTTTCTCCGTGGCAGTAGTTAGGAAACCATAGGAGTAGGTTAGAAAGGGCTGAGAAAGAAATGGGAGAGCAGCAGAGGTGAGGAGTCAGGAGGCAGCATTAGCGATCCGGGTGTGCCCGTGGGCTGGTGGGCAGGTGTTTGAAAGTGGGAGTTTGAGTTTACTTTCAGGGGAAAAAGTGGGCACTTTACACATGATTTAAAATTCTTTTTTTTCCCCCAAGCCTCTGTGGAAGTTACTTGTTGACATGGTAAGTAAATTCTTTAACATTATAACGTTAAACAATTATAATAGTGTTGCAGTATAAACGAGATGGATTTCGTGGGTTACTTGCCTTTTGTAAATCAGCAAATATATTCAGAATTGTCTGTGGATCGCCATAGTGATGGTAAAGTAAAACCCCAGTAAACCCTAATATTTCTTTTCTGGTATTTGAGGTAACAGCTGGGTGTGCCCACACACAGTGGTCCATGGGAAGCACTGAGTTTGGGTCCTGCCTCCCCCACTGTGGAGGCTTCACATGTAATGCAAATTCTCTGAGCCTCTGTTTCCCAATTATGAAAAGGGGATAATCATCACTTCTCTGAGAACCTCATAGAATTGGTTGAAAGACCAAATGATAAAAGTGTTTCACAAACTCTGAAGAGCAAGATGTTATTATTAAGATGTCATCTGGTCACTTTGAACTTAGAGTGTTGTTGTCTCCATTATCTGATTCCAGAAGAGAAGGAGCCAAATGCTGAAGATAGGTACCTCGGTGTTTCCTTCTTCCTTGTCCTGTTTGTGGCAGGGAAGAGCGCCTATTAGGGGAGGAGGAAAAAAAGCTGGGCAATGGGCAAGTTAAGGGGGGGTGACCTTCAGACCCAGGCAGACCTGGCTTTGAATGTGGGCTCCTCCACTTTCTGGCAGGTTGACCTGAGGCATGTCACTTAATCTCTTTGAGCATCAGCTGCCTTAGGGTGATGTCTTATGTGGTCACTAAAATCCTGTTAGCCAGCAGATGAAGGCCCTGTTATTATTTGACATCACCATTTGGGAAAAACAAAGAACACCTTGGCTTTAAAGACTGTTGGTCAGCAGACATCGTCTCTTCTCTGGGAGAAAGTAAAGACAGGCGGATATCACACCATCGACATGGTTGCAGGTGGCCTCGGGGCCCCATCTGAAGGGGAAGGACATGAGCCACCCTCTAGGCTTAAGGTTAGGCTTTCAGGGGGTGTAGGAGGCAACTCCCCAAACTGAATGAGTTGAGAGGCACCAGAGAGGTGTGACTTCATTCTTATGGATTCTATTTCCTGTTTCAGTAGTGGCCGATAGTCTTAAAAGAGGCAGAATCTCAGCATTGAGTTTTTTTTACAATTTTTTAAAATGTTTATTTTGAGAGAGAGAGAGTGCATGTGCAGGTGAGTGAGGGAGGGGTGGGGGGGGGAGAGAGAGAGAGTGAGAGAATCCCAGGCAAGCTCCACGCCCATTGCAGAACCCATCGCAAGGCTCGATCACACAACTAAGAGATCATGACCTGAGCCGAAATCAAGAGTAGGACACTTTAACTGACCGAGCCACCCAGGTGCCCCGAGCTTTTACAATTTTTGACAGACTAGTGGAGGACTGTTGGTCAGAGTAAAACCTGAGAGGGAGTGAAGCTACTGGTTGCTTCCCAACTGTTAGACTGAGATAGGGAGGGGTCTCAACCAGAGATCCAGCTGAGATGTTGGCCTTGCCAGTGTGGCCAGAGTAGTGAGCATGGGGCAGGAAGAGGCGGGGAGAGAACAGCCAGTGATGGTCCAGGGTGGCCTCCCATGTTTAATCCATTCTGTACCTGTTGGTGAAGTGAATTACCCAATTTGACAAGAGAAAAAATTGACCACAGTCATGCTGCTAATAAATAGTGGGCATAGGGTTGACCCGGGGAGCCTGGCTCTGATACCAGCCTTCTTGCCTCTCCTGCTGAGCTGCGCCAGTATCCCAGTCAGCCCTGATGTGTAGAGCAATGATGTCTAGAGAGACACCAGGCGCTCATCTATCCACTTACTCATGCTGAGTGCTTGCCTCATGCCGGATCCTCTTTCCAGAAGCCATGTTAGTTGGGATGGTTGGAGCCTAGGTGTCAGGAGAGGAAAGGGATGGGGAGGGAGGAGGGGGTTGCAGCGGGAGCACCTGAGGATGTCTTTGGTAGTCAGCCCTGACCCTCTGAAGGGCTCTACACCAAGGAATGACAGCATCAAACAATTTAACACAAATCCCAAAGGTCCTTTCCTGGAAAGGGTAATCCCACGTCTCAGTGTAAGCACATCCTTAGAAACATAAGCCATTTGTGAATTGATCTGGGCCTTTCCCCTCTCCTGTCACACTGCCAGGACCCCAGGATGCTGTTATCCTGCATAGATTTCAGGTACATCACAGACGTCCTGACTGAGGAGGAAGCCTATGGTGAGTCATACTCAAGTGACGGAACTGAAGTTTTCTGGTACCACTAATGTGGCATGCCATACCTACCATATAGCATGCATGCTTTGTTGTCTAAAAAAGTGATGATACTTTTTTTTTTCCAGGAATACTGCAGAAAGGTCAAATTGGCAAAAAAGAGAGAGGTGGGTGGTGAGGAAATTTCCTTCGTTGTTTTTGCTGTCACTGTCCTTTTGAATGTCCCTGTCGTCTGGGGGTTCATAGTGTCTTCCCAAATGCCTCGTGCCCAGCAGCCAGGCCCTCTGATGGGCAGTTGCGTCTGGATGTGTCCTGAGTGTGACAGGAAGACCTGGGGTAGTTTGACAGCCTTGGTATTTGCATGATTGTGAATGTGAACAAAGGCTGGGTTTGGGGCTGGGTGCATGTGAAAGGCAGGGTCAGAAGAACTGCTGGATTCTCTGGGGGCAGCAGCTTAGCTACAGGCAATTCTAATCCTGAAGGTCCCTGGAAAGCACAAATGTTGACAAGCTCTGTGTTTCCACAGAAAGGCAAATGCTAATGCATGGCTACCCTGCCTACACGACATCGTGCGCCTGGCTGGGGTACTCGGATGACACACTGAAGCAGGTGGGCATCCGAAGCTGGTTTTGTAGACAGGTTTTGTATTCCTGGCTTTCTGGAGTTTTAATGTTAGCTCTTCTAGATCATTGTGGATCCAAGGCCTCATTCTGAAAGCACTTCTACTGGAGCAAAAGTAAAGCCGCTCATATTGTGGGCATGGGACTCTGTGACCTTATATGTCCCACCATGGGTTCTGGAAGGGGACAGTCTGGGATTTGACCCCAGGCAGAGACAGCAGTGTAATGTCGTGCAGTGTTACACCTAACCATGCTGAGCCTTGGTTTCCTCACTGTGAAATGGGGAAATAATATGGGTCTTGTGGGTGGTTTGGAGGCTCCAGATAAAAGCTGTGAGTTGTGTGACGCTTGTGGCCCCATGGCTGGTACTCGGCTGCAGTCAGTGCGAGGTTGATCCCACTGCACTGTACCTGCAGCTGAGAGAAAGACTAGCTTCTGTTTGTTACCCTCACATCCATTAGTTCTCTGGATGCTGCAGGATATCCTAGCTTTAACAAGAGGGATATCAATGCTCCATTGCCCTTTGAGGAGTGTGAACAATTAAAGACATTGTTCCCATAGAGATGAGGAAAGAAAGTCATCCTATGGGTACAAAGAGTTATGGTCTGTTGGCTAAACTGCGCCCTTAATGCATCAACACATAGCTGTTCCTCCGGTTCCCGCTGCTGCTGTAAGTGCATATGAAACCAGATCAGGGACAACTGGGGTCCTCATTAGACCAAGGGGAGCTCTGCCGTGTGTGATGCTGGCTGTGCTCCTCTCCCCGCAGCTCTGCACCGAGGCCCTGCAGGACGGCTGGACCAGGTAACTTGTTTGCGTGGTAACGAGCTTCACTGCCCCAGTTAGCAGCATGATGGGCCAGGAACAAAAGGCACCAGGGCGGCCAGGATTCGTCCAGGAGCAGTCTCACATGGAGGATACATAGGAGAAGTCTCACTGTAGACCAGGCTTTCTCCAAAGATGAGATGTGAGTCCTAATTACAACCCTAAGACCTTGGAGAAACAGACCTTGGAGATCATCAATTTCAAACACCAGAATAGAAATCAACTCTTGAAAAAAAATTTTTTTTTAAGTTTACTTACTTATTTTGAGAGGGGGGAGGGAGAGAGAGAATCCTAAGCACACTCTGTACCATCAACACAGAGCCTGATATGGAGCTTGAATCCACGATATGTGAGACCATGACCTGGGCTGAAACCAAGACCTGGATGCTCAACCCACTGAGCCACCCAGGCGCCCGAGAAGTCCACTCTTTTACTATCAGTAATAAGCATTGACTCAGCTTCCACTTGAAAACCTGCAGAGGCAGTGAGCCTAACTTGCAAGGCACTTTTGCATTGTTTGAGGGCTCTGTGTGTTAGAGTCCCAAAATGTATCGAGTCCTTCCCTTCCATGTAACTTCCAGCTACTGGTTCCAGTTCTCTGCAGTCTCCAAGCGTCTCCTCTTCCCCTGGAGTGGTGGCCCTTCTCCTCCCCAGGCTGCTTCTCTCCAGACCAACTGTTGGCGCTTCTCTGCTTGTCTCTGCTGGGCAGATATGGACCCCTGGGCATCCTAGGGTTTTCCTCTGGATACATTGTGGCTGTCAGTGGTCCCAAAACCTAACACAATGCAGGGCATAGAGGGACCATCATCTCGTGATGTGGTCACCATGAGTCTACCAGTTTAGCGCACAGTGGCACATTCTGTAATAGGTCCCTGGGCTCCCTGCGTGACTCTCAGTCTGGCCACGGGCCCCCTGCTGCTGCCAGTGTAGTCTGGAGCAGGAGCATCAGCATTTCCTGAGAGCTTGTCAGAAATGGCAGTCCAGCCTCTTCCCAGACCGGCTGCTCAGGAATCTGCATTTTAACAAGATCCCATGTCAAAGGGTGACTTGTGTGCATGCTAAAGTTTGGGAGGCACTGAATTCTTGTTAACTCCTCAGCTAAATGAAGGGTCGGGAAGTGAGAATTTGAACGAGGCAGCGTGAAGCATTGGAAAGAGGCTTGGGATATGATGGATTTGGAATCAGCCTCTTGCCTTTTCCCCTCATCCCCTACAGGTACTTGTTGTGTGATAATGGGCAAATGGCCCAACCTGTCTGAACCTTATTTTCTTTCTCTATAAAATGGGAATAATATTAACTCGTGATTCTCCTCAAAGTTGCGGTATCTGAAAAGGATCAGCACAATGGGAGTCATAGCAGGCGCTCAGGAAGTGCCGGCACCTTCCCTCTTTCTGCATACCTAGGGAAGGCTGACCTTTTACTGCATTGATTCAGGATGAAGCCCTCGTATAAACCTCTGTACAGCTGGAGGTATTTTATCAGTTATACTCTTTTTTTTTTTTTAATGTTTATTTTTGAGAGAGCATGTGCAAGCAGGGTAGGGGCAGAGAGAGAGGGAAACACAGAATCTGAGGCAGGCTCCAGGCTCTGAGCTGTCAGCACAGAGCTGGATGCAGGGCTCGAACCTGCAAACTGTGATATCATGACCTAAGCCAAAGCCGGATGCTTAACCGACTGAGCCACCCAGGCACCCCTATCAATCATACTCTTTACGTTCAGGATGTGACAGGCACTTCTCTTTAATTCCAATTCTGGCTTTTGTTCTTAATTCCTTGTCATGGCACAGCAAAAACTCAGTGTTATTAAATATCTGACTGCTCTCCTAGTTCTTAGACTTTGGGTCAGCGGGTGATTTAGCCTTATTGCCCTGATACATTTGCCAGATTATTTTCAAGTGGCTTGTCTGGGACTGACCAGAAAAGGGCAAAAGGCTACTAGAAGATATGACCTGTGAATTATTGACAGAGGCGGCTGCTTCTGCAGAAAATCCACGTGTCTTTGTCACGTCAGGACACGTCCAAACTACCAAACTGCATTTGTTTTACAGGTTTAAGGTAAAAGTGGGTGCTGATCTCCAGGATGACATCCGTAGGTGCCGACTCATCAGAAACATGATTGGACCCGAGAAGACGTTGGTAAATGTCCTCCCCTACCATTGAGAAGCCTTGCGTGAAGCCTGTGTCTTGGGCCAAAATGCAACTCATTTCAATCAAGGATTAAGGAATGTTGGGAATTTTATTTTATTTTTTAGAGTTTATTTATTTTGAAACAGAGAGAGAGCATGCTGAAGGGGTAGAGAAAGAGGGAGAGAGGGAGAATCCCAAGCAGGCTCCACACCATCAGCACAGAGCCAGATGTGGGACTTGAACCATGAGATGATGGCCTGACCCAAAGTCAGATGCTTACGCAACTGAGCCACCCAGGTGCCCCAAAGAACACTGGGAATTTTAAAGCTGAGTGAGAGAGGAAGTACAGATTTGTGTGAGCTGATAGTTTAAAATGTCTGTTCTGCAGAACAGCTTGCGTAAGATCAGGCTTAGGGATTATTCCTGCTTGCTGACACAGAAGCGCCTGAGCAAGCAGGTCTCCCCTTGGAGCCCCAGTGTGCCATTCTTTGACACCCCTGAAAAAATACATCCCGCCTGGTCCATCAGGCGGCCAGTCTCAGGGAGCCAGTGTTGAAGAGATGCCAGACTTGGCTGAGATAAATGTAAGGATCAGTCATTCCTGACTATTTTTATAAGAGATTTCTTATTACATGTAAAATATTTTTATAAAGTCACAAGATGTTTTTGTGGAGTTTGGGAGGCATGTTTCCTAAGTTAACTAAAATAGGAATTGGGTCCTTGACCTAGGATAAGAAGTATCACTATTTATACATGAGTTAATGCTACTTTTAAGGGGCCATCCTTCTCCAAGTAATTTGTGGTACAATTGATTCTAGGTGTCCTATCATCTGGTTTTCATAGTGCCCCCTGTGGAAACTCTTACCACTTAGCACTTTCTCCTAGAGATACCCACCTCCGTGTCTGTCTTCATAAAGCGTGATAATGTCAGGGTTGGGGAGGCCCTGTCTTAGTCTCTGCACACCCAGCACCTGACTTCCAGGCAGGATCTCCACATGCAGAGAGACAGGGCCTGGGAGTTAAAGAGGCCTGGATCTGAACTAGCTATTTATGTGGCTAATTGTTCTTGGCAAGTTCCTTAACTTCTCTGCATGTCAGTTTTCTTTTCTGTAAACTGAGTTAATATGAACTGCGTCATAAAATACCCAGTTGAGTAGGTGCTTCATAAATGGTAGAGTTTGGGTTATTTATTATTGTGCCAGACTTATAGTTGGCAATAGTCAATAAATGACTAGTGAACAAATTTAGAATTGATGATGAATGACTCAGAATGTGATAAAGTAGTTTCCAGAACAATGAATACTGCAAGACAGGTGTACTTCCAAGCCCTAAATGCATATTGGGCCAGAGCTCCAGGGCCAGCAAGCACTTCTCCTGAGCCTAGCCCAGGACACTTGCAGACATCACAGTGGCTCTGTGAGTTGCATTTCCTCTAGAAGACACATCTAGAACTACAGTGCCTGTCTTGGTGGCTGTTCTTTGGCTCCTTTTGTAACGGCTGCATGCTGATCCTCCACAGAGGAGATGTCAGGCTCCCTCTGGAAGTCTTGCTCAGCAGTTGGTGGCACTGAGTGACAGACAGCATTTCCTCCCTCAGAGCTGCAGTCCTGTCACAAGTCAGTACCAGGCAGACCTCATGGTGAAAGATCTCTCTCTCTCTCTCTCTCTCTCTCTCTCTCTCTGCAGATGATGGATGCCAACCAGCGCTGGGATGTGCCTGAGGCAATAGAGTGGATGTCAAAGCTGGCTGAGTTCAAGCCACTGTGGATTGAAGAACCCACCTCCCCTGATGACATTCTGGGACATGCCACCATTTCCAAGGTAGAAAAGCCGCTCCTGCCTCTGTCACTACTGCCATGTATTTTTGTTTGTGGGTTTGGTCTGACAGATCCCAAAATCCCGTTGCTTCTTCCCTTTTACATTTTTACATATTTTAGAGACAGTACATTGCTAAAAGTTGAAAGGCTGCCAACAAACCAAAGGTTAATAGACACGGCTCCAGACTTTGTAAATATAGAAATCTGACTGATACTAAAATATTTTACTCCCCCAGAACTAAACAAAAGTGCAGATTCCTCTGGTGGACTCAAAATACAAGGTTTACTTAGCTAATGCCTAGGTCAGGCCTGCCCAGGAGAAGGCTACCTGGAGCCCTCACACCAACACACTTCCTGCACCGATCCACCCGGCTTCCCTTCCTCTTGGGTTTAGGGACACCCTGATATGTCAGAGCATCTGAGAACATCCTTTCTCTCAGGGTGTGTCTCCCTTTAGGCAGGTGTCCAGCACGGATATATATAAAGCCAGAATGCCAGGTAGTTAATTTATAAGGAGAACTCCCAACTTCTGGGAGCACTAGAGTTTTGTATCCTCTGACCAGAGCAAGCTCCACAAGGAGCCACATTAAACCAGAGGTTGTTGGGTGAGTGAAAAATCAGGACAGGAACTGGTGGTGCGATTTAAATATGAGACGGTGTCAGTCCAGTGTGGCCCCGCGCATCTCCCCACAGTGCATGGATGTGCCTGCTCCTGGCACCAGGCATGTTGAGTCTTAAGCCTCACCCCTCCCCTGGCAGTGCCTGGGCCAGCCCCGGCCAGCACTCACCCCTACTCCCCTTTTACGTTTTCCTCTGATAACCCTTCCTCCCCAACATTGGGTTCGTAGGTTCGCTTGCTTTACAGTCCATTCCTGCCTGCCTGGGAGATTTTTTCCCCTGGTGTGACTTTGCATTGCTATACCCTCCCCTAATCTGAAAATTGTCACTGTGGGGACAGTCAGTTCCAAGTTCTGGGAAAGATACCTCAGTGTGTCCTACATGAAGTCATAGGTCCTACTGGAGCCATTCTGCTCCATTTCTCTCAGTAAATGAACATATGAGCTTCTTATGTGGGACACTCCACAGAAGCCTGTGTTTGAGGGATGCCCTCCCACTCTCCCCACTTCACAGCCTAGCTGGAGAGAAGAGGGTAAGACATGGGGGCATGCTGGGTGGGGCCCTGAGCCCTGAGGACAGTAGAAAGAAGGTCACTGAAGGGAGAGACAGGCGTGGGCTGGGATGGTGGAGTGGCCTTGTGGAGGTAAGACAAGAGCTGACCCTGAGGAAAGCTGTACTGCAGGTGGGGGAGACGTGAGCAGCAGTCGTGGGGTGACCATGTTGATTTAAACAGAACTGAAAGCTTCTGAGGAGTCGTTCTGAAATGAGAATCTAGTGACAGGCCATGGTTCGAGAAACAAGACGTTTGCCTCAGGGTTCTTATGGGGGTAGCCATGCCCTAGTGCTGCCCGCTTGCCTACACAGGGACTTGCACCGCTGCCCACCTGGAGGGTCTCCTCAGAAGCTCTTCTGGGTTTCAGCCATCTGAGGTCTTGTTTACATAGGGAAGGCCATCCACTCAGGAGGCATCCCATGAAGTGGGCGCAGACAGACCAAGGCGGGGGGAAGCCACAGAAACAGCAGGCCCTGGAGATCCCCAGCACAGGGGCTGTGGGGAAGATGGGTCCATGGGGCCAGACAGCAGGTCCGTCTGTGCGGAAGATGTGGCCCAACACAGTGAGCCACCATAGTGTCTTGAAGGAGATAATAGGATTAAAGAAGATTTCACTGGGAAAAAACATGTAGGATGGATTGAGACACGGGGTACAGGGCAGGTGTGGAACAGACAGAAAGAAACTGGAGGCAGAGAGTAGAGCTAGGAGGCTTTCCCAGTAACCTAGGAGGCCAGGTGGTGAAGGGAGAGGGCAGCTAGAATAGAGCAGGTTCAGGAAATGATTAAAAGGAAGAAATAAACATTGGTACCTATTTAGTGTCAGAAACATATTCTTTAAAATGGTAGAGTGAATGACTTCCCCCCTCCTCTACTACTTTTCCCCACTCTGTTTTTTTTTTTGTTTTTGTTTTTGTTTTGAGATAACCGAGAACATTTAAATTAGAAGTTCCCGAAAACATAAACAAGGAAGCTAGAAGGTGCCTCAGCGACCATCTGCTCTAACTTTTGACCTGGAGACGAGGAGGCCGAGGCTTCTGGTTTTCCATGAATCATCCATGTCCACATATCCCATTAGAGGCGGGACAGCTAGCAGGATTGGGGATACCTGGCTCCTAAATTAAACGTTATCTATTTATTAGAGAGAGAGAGAGAGAGAATGCAAGCAGTGGAGAGAGAATCTCAAGCAGGCCCTATAGTCAGCATGGAGTCGAATGCGGGGTTCAATCCCACAACCCTGGGATCATGACCTGAGCCGAAACCAAGAGTTGGACACTCAACCGATTGAGCTACCCAGGTGCCCCTAGGGCTTTTCTGTAGGGGAGTGGTTCTATCTAGTGGTTCAGATGTCTGCCCTGGCTCTGGAGTGGGCCTGGAGTTCAAGCCTGGGCTCTACCCCTTTCTAGCTTTGTCATCTGGGAACAGTTGCTAGTCCTGAACCTGTTTTGCCTCTGTGAAATGGGGATGATGATGATTCCTGTCCCAGTGGGCTGTGATGAGCAGTCATTTCAGTCACGGTTTCACGCAGCACCACACAGTTGAGAGCACACCACGCTAGTAAGAGCTCAATGTTAGCTATTGGTGCCACTGATACCTGAGGAGAGTACCTATGGCCTCGCAATCCCGGTGGGGGCAGGGGAGAGCAGCCTGGAGCCCAAGTGGAGGGAAGTGAGGTAGCTTCAGGCAGTAGGACTGAGAGAGCAGTCTGAGTCTAAGAAGACTCCAGCACTTGCCAAGTGAGCATTTCACCAGGTTAGGAATGAGCTTACCCTGACCTGTAAAGTGGATCTAAGACCGCTTGCTGAGCTTGAAGGGAGAGGGCTCTAGAACAACTACAGAAGAGGGGGGTTGGGAGAATCTGCAGAACTGTAGCCGGGAAGGGAACTAACAGCAGCATATGAACTAGTGCTGACTGTATCCTCTGTAGGCACACACAGCCGCTCTTGTGTGCATACATCATCCCCTTGACGACCTTCTGCCATTCCTTAAACTTCACACGGCTCCACAGCAGGGACGTTTCCTTCTTCAGCTCTAAGTAGTTAAACAACTGTAAATATTTTTAAACATTGGGAGTTTCAGTTTAAAGGTTTGGGAAAATAACATCAAGTTGCCTTATATTTTACAGGCATTGGTCCCACTAGGAATTGGTGTCGCCACAGGAGAGCAGGTAAATGACATCTCCTTGGGGACAGTACACACTGGCCAGCCACTGAGGACACTGGCATACATTAGGTTACATCACCTGTGTTATTTTGAGTTTGGAAGCTTTCTTTTTCTTTTTTTTTTTAATGCTTGTTTACTTGGAGCGAACATGAGTCGGGGAGGGGCAGAGAGAGAGAGAGAGAGAGAGAGAGAGAGAGAGAGGAACCCAACCAGGCTCCATGCTCAGCACAGAGCCTGATGTGGGGCTGGATCCCACGACCATGAGATCATGACCTGAGCCGAAATCAAGAGTCAGACATTTAATCAACTGAGCCACCCAGGTGCCCCCGAGTTGGGGAGTTTTAATTTCAGAAATGGGGATATTTTACAGCACATCAGTAGAGCCTGGAGTCAGATACAGTCAAAAGTTTGTCTCTTTTCCCACAGTTTATATGACTAAGGCCATTTATCTTCCTCAAAGTATCTAATCAAAATTCACAAGGCAGCAATTTAAAGCTGCTCATGCAAGGGCATAAGATGCACTGTATGGTTTTAAGAAAGCCAGCTTCCAAACAGAGTAAACATTATTGCGTTCACTCTTTGTGCTTATAAAACGAAGCACAAATGCCTGCCAAAACCTGCGTCAGTCCACCCACGAGCAGAGCAGTGTGAAGGAACAGATTCTCAGTTTTCCCAGCAAAAGGAGCAATGCTGTTTAGCCGTGTTTTTTGTCGTCCAAACCACCTGCTCATCGTCATCACCATATTTCATCCTGATGTTTGCTTCACTTCCCACTTGCCAGTCACTCTGACAGCATTTCCTTAATAGATGTCAAGCTGATGTGACTTTAGCATGACCGTGGTGTGACCATTCCACTAATGGATTTATAAAGCAGTGAGCAGCGAGGTCCCCAGCTTGTATTATCAGGGCTTGCTTCACGCGGGTGAAAACAAAGACTAGATACAGTCCAAGCTTCCAGAGGCCGCTGAGGAGTGACTTGGAATTGGCGCATTGCCAGGTGTAGATACCCTAATGGCCAAAGCTGACTCTTCTAATTAGTTTTATTTTAAACGGTTTTTTTTTAATGTTTATTTATTTTGGAGGGAGTGCAAGCGGTGGAGGGGCAGAGAAAGGGGACAGAGGGTCCGAAACAGGCTGTGCGCTGACAGGCTGACCACAGTGAGCCTGATGTGGGGTCAAACTCACGAACCGCAAGATCATGACCTGAGCTGAAGTCGGACGCTCAACGACTGAGCCACCCAGGTGCCCCATTCTGTTGGTTTTATTTTAATTCTATTTCCAGTGCCACAATAGAGTCATATTTAAGCAGCTTCTCCAAGCAAAAGCCCTGCAGTTTCTCCAGATTGACAGCTGCAGGCTGGGAAGTGTCAATGAAAACCTCTCAGTGTTGCTGATGGCCAAAAAGTTTGAAAGTAAGGGCACCCTGGAGCTGCGCACCAAACCTCCATTTCCTGCCCACCACACACCCGTGGAGCCCTCTGTAGGGACTCTTTTCGGTTTAATCAAGTGCTCTTTGACGATTTTTATCCTGGAGTTTCATCCCTGTATACTAATGAATGACATAATCACCTGTGGGCAATGAGAAAACCTGGAGGTTCTCTTTCATCCCCACCCCCACCCTACCTGGCATTAAGTAGAAATCTGTCTTTATTTTAGTTCCCGTTTGCCCCCATGCTGGTGGAGTTGGCCTCTGTGAATTGGTACAGCACCTGATTATATTTGACTTCATATCAGTTTCTGCAAGCCTTAAAAACAGGTCAGTAACGTGGAGTTAGCTTCAGAAGTGTCCCTCGGTCTAGGCCAGACCTTTTAAAATTCTGCTCTGGCGACCAGAGGCGCTAAGAACTCTGTCCATTGCCACATCCTGTAACTCAAAAGGCCAAGTTGGTTTTGCTTCCTCTTCTTCACATGCAGCCATTAAACTGGAGCCCCAGCAGTGGACAGAGCTCTTTTTCTTTCATGGGGGTGGGGTTTTGGTAGCTGCCTTTGTTTTCTAAGTATGTGATGGGTGGGTGGGTGGGGGTTGCAACCAGGTGGAAACCAGAACCCCTTCCTTTTTAAAGCCTTGCTTTCATTGTGTGTGTTTTCTCTGCTTCTGTACAATCTCCTGGTCTCAATGCTGTAGTCCTCTGTAACGTGGCTGCATCTGGTTCCATCTTGTTTCTCAACACATCCCAGGTGAACTTTAAGACAGTCTTCTGATCATCTGCACACATACGGCTTTACTATGCATTTCTTTCCTCTTGGAATTAAATGTCGAATCGCCGAAAGATCACTAGAGGTGATCTTTATATGGCAGAAGCATAGAAAACGTGCATGGGAATGGTAAACACCAAATGCAGGACCATGAGAGAGAAATGGGATCCGTGAGGGTTTAGACTGGGCTTCAGTGATATAGTACCTGTCTCAAGTCAGGTGGTGAGTAGACAGATGCTGCCTTTTATGTCTGAAATATTTTGTTCGATAAGAAGTGAACATTCCTGGGCTATTCTGCTTTTGCCCCTCTCATTTCTGTTCTGAGGGTGGGACCAAGGGGAGGTCAACCTTGAAAGGTCCTGCCAATCTGGAGGGCCGAGAGGAGGAGGAGGGCGAGCCCCGAGAGCAGTGCGCTGCGACCACCCAGGAGTGGGCAGAAGTGCCTGGTGCCACCCTCCTGAAGCACACCTCGCTGCCAGGATGCTGCTGTGCACGCAGAGCAGCCAGCCGCAAGGCGCAGGCGCAGCTCAGCACCCCTGCTTTACGACTGCGTGGAACACCCGTTCCCTGCTCATCCTTCAAGGCCAGAACATCCTCTCCCATGGGGCTGGTTCTTCATCTGTAGCCTGTTCTTTGTAGATTACACATAGTGCATATTCTAGTCGGTAACTTAGTCTCTGTGTCCACTGAAACCATGAGGCCCTGTCTCACCAGGTCCTTTGTGAATTCCCAGCACCGGGCACACGGGCTGCCTGTCGTGGCTGTTCATTAACCTGTGGCTAAAGCAAGGTGGCAGAGTTAGGTTACTTGCCCCAAGTCACAAAACTAGAAGGTAGCTGACCTCAAATCTGAACACAGACCAGTCTGGTAGTAAAACCTGTGCTCTTCTTCTAAATCGTGTGTAGCTGGATGGGATCTCATTTGGTGATTTTAGTCTATTCATCTAACTTTTGGCTAAAGGCACCCAAATAATCCCAGATACTTACAGAGTCTAAACTGATGGGAGTAATAAAACCTTTACAGATCTTTCTTGGCTGAAGATGGCTTAACATTCTGACAAGCCCAGCATAACATATTGATTACTAATATATAGTAATAGATTGTTATCAATTATTGATAAATATTAACATTAAAAATACATTTAAAAATGCATTTAATACACCTAACGTACTGAACATCATAGATTAGGCTAGCTTACCTTGAACATGCTCAGAACACCTGTATCAGCCTAAAGTTGGACAAAATCATCTGACACAAATCCTGTATTGTAATGAAGTGTTGAATAGCTCATGCAGTTTATTGAATACTGTGCTGAAAGTGTTAGAAAGGTTGTATGGGTACAAACGGTTGTCAGTATACTGGTTGTTGACCCTCATGATGGCGTGGCTAACTGGGGTCTGCTGTGCCACAGCCCAGCATCATGAGAGAGGATCGTGTCACACATCACGAACCCAGGAAAAGATCCAAACTCAAAATTTGAAATACAGTTCTCCTGAACACGTATGGTTTTTGCACCATCGTGAAGTCAAAAAATCTTAAGTCAGACCATCCTAAGTCAGGGACCATCCGTAGTTACAAGAGACTTCTGGTATCCACATGAGGAGACTTCAGCCAAGCCCTCATAGTACTTTATTTTGCAGATGGGAAGGACCTGAGGCAGAGGTTGAAAGATTTGCATAGAAACCTGTGCCAGATCAAGTCCACCCTTTCTTTAGTGGTACTCACCCCTTTGCTTGGACAGTTAGTACCACATAAATGATCTAACGCAAGGCATTATTGCCCCAATCTGATTCCTTCCTCCTAGGATGTGCGAGTATGTCGACCACCTGCATGAACATTTCAGGTATCCAGTGACAATCAAGAAGGCTTCCTACATGCCTCCTAAGGTGAGCTCGGCCAGAGAGGCCTCCCCGAGGAAGCACTGCCAGCCCCTGGTAGACTTGTTCTTGTGGGTTAGACCCTGGAGCACAAAGCTCTGTCTCCTTAGAGTTTATTTTCAGTATCTAAAAATTACAAATGGCTCCTTAGTTAGCAATATCAAATTCCCAAGGCCCAAAGGTCAGGAGTTGAGGGTGAAACTGCTCCGACAAGGCTTCTCTAATGCAGGCCTTTCTTCCCGACACCAGCTGAGACCTTAAAATGCATTTCTTGTGCAAAAACAAACCAACCAAAAGAACAAAAAACAAACATGGCACCACCTGGAGGTTAGTGAACTGAAACGTTGAGACTGTGGTGTGTTATCTGGACCATTAATCTTCACCATGTCCAAGACGTTGGGGTTCATTTTCAGCAACAAGAGATTGAATTGTCAAAGGAAGTGTGATTAGTTTAATCCTGAGAAGCAGCCCGTAGTGTGTTCCTCATTTCAAACAATCCGAAAACAGCATCTCTACAGGCAGCAGAAATACATAAGTGAGTTTTGTTCTGGGTGGTTATTAACACTACTCTATTTTTTGTCTTTGATAGGATGCTGGTTATTCAACAGAAATGAAGGAGGAATCTGTAAAGAAACACCAATATCCAGATGGTGAAGTCTGGAAGAAACTTCTTGCTGCTCAAAATAATTAAATGTTCAGCCCCAATACTCTTTCCTTTTTCAAGCGAAAAGGCTTAAAACTTCTTGGGTATGGTTTTACAAAAACAGGGGGGTAAAATCACCCTAGCAATCAAAACAAATTCAGCTGAAAGTCCTGTTAACCTCAGGAATCAGCTCAGTCATCATTATTACTTGATTCTTTTAGCAAATAAACACATATTCTCCTTATTAATCCTTAAACAAATTTAGATTTAACTCAAAATCCAGAAAGATGTTCTTACAAAATTTCTATCAAGTGCTGGTACCTAGACATTAAACTGCACTTTGAAAATAAGCAGGTTATTTAATTGTTGGAACAATGCCTTATTCTATCTAACATGTCAGAAATTAGCAGGGTAAAAAAATAGTCCTGCAGTGCCATGTGTGTGTCACAGAGGTAACTGGTGTGTAACAAAGGTAAAAGGATTTCACAGATAAGCCCCGGAGTGGTTTAGCATTTCTATTCTTGCTCAGTCTAACTCTATCAGTAGAGGATTCACACGATACTGAAACTATGGCAGCAGTAATGAGCATAAAAATGGCATTTCATGTATTATTTTTCCATAACCCTTAAAGTAAACCTTTATCCTAAATGGTCATTAAATGCTAATGATAAAATACAGCCAGAATTAGATGAACTGCAGAAAAACAGGGCAAAATACAGTCTGGTCAGCATTTCTAAAATATACTAACCCTCTAAGCAGGATCCAAACGAGAATACAGCATATGTTTATTTAGGAGGGTTCAGTTAAATCTATTTTAGGCAAGCAGTGAGCAGAATGGCAATACAGAATAGAAAAAATTAAAAAACAAAACACCAGATGAATGCACAACACTCCTTTATTATAGCAATATATAAAGCAAGTAACTTTAAATGTTCATAACTACAACTGTACATTATCATGCACGCTGGTGTTATTCAGCTTGCTCAAATCTGGGGGAATAGTTTTCATGTAATTGAAATGCACTGAGCTTCATAAAAATGTGGGATTGAAATGCAGGTACACATTTTAAGAGCATATAAATTTTTACTCTCCTTACTTTATCCCTAACCTTGGCAGTTTCACACATCCCCAGGGAGTTAACCAAACTCAAGGTCGTTTGTTAGTAAGAGAACTGTTGGCCAGTGGCAACATTCTCAAAAGCTAATCAAGTGTAACTGCCAGTCACCAATAGACTTCTGACCTAGTTCTTTCTTTCTTTAGGGTGAAACACCTTTCATCCGGGCATTCAGTCTAATCCCTCAAGAATCAGTATCTTTCCGGTATCTCCCTTAAAAGCATTTTAAACAGCCATTTCCATTTTAATAGTGGGGTGAGGATTGTACCCCTCAATCTGAAAGTCTTCAGCCTTGAAGTCATCAATTGTCTCAACTTTTCGAAGGATTCTGAGCTTTGGGAAAGGCCTTGGTTCTCGCTGTAGCTAAAAATAATAGGAAATCGTTATTTTGCCATTATCGGTGCAAGCTGCTTTAATTCTGAGACAAGTACACAGTATTTTATCAGCAAAATATTATTTCATAGGACTGTAATAGTATGGACACCTGTCCCTGCTTATGCAGCACTACTGGAATATAACTGATCCTCTCCCACAAGTGGGGACTGAAGGATATGTGGAATCACATCGGGTGGAGCCTTGTGGCTCATCTCATAATTGGCTGTTCTTGGTAAATTTATTAAGGACAGGATGCAATCTTTTACTTTCAAATCCATAACTACTCAGAAGTTACAGTGCTCAGTATGGGAGTATGAGTCCCCAAATCCCTATCCCAACTGTCCTTGGCAGTGAGGGCAATGTAAGATGTGACATCTGACAACAGAAAGGGATGCAAGCTGGTGTTCCTGGCATGAACAGATGGTGGCACTGAGGGCAGGCACACGGGTTACAACCTCACGTTATTCTGTCCAGACTGGAGCAGACAGCCAGAGAGGCAACTGGGTAAACCCTGAAGTTACCCTCTAAACAAAAGCAGCTAAACTCCCTCAAAGGAGGAACTTTCAAAACCTGGATCTCACCTGGAAGGGGCTAAAAGGGTTTCGGTTCAAAATTTTTTTTCTTGGGGATCATTAAGCATTAGACTTATTTAATTTTATTTTCTTAGAGCACGTGTGGATGCAGGAGAGGGGCAGAGAGAGGGAGGAAGAATCCCTAGCAGGCTCCATGCCCCGCACAGAGCCCCACTCAGGGCTCAATCCCATGACCATGAGATTACAACCTGAGCCGAAATCAAGAGTCAGATGCTCAGCCAACCAAGCCACCCGGGTACCCCTAGACACTCATTTTTTAATTGCCATTTAAAATCATTTGTTGGCTGCTATAACTCAGGATTTGAACAGACTTTTGAAAGTTAATACCTAAGTATGGTATTTCATATGACGGGAAAACATCTGCATTTAAATTTTCCTTCAAGTAAAAATATGAGTTGAAAATGCTACCTCTGGGAAGGTCCCAAACCCACTGGCCCAAATATGGGCTCTCCCTCTCTGGTCCCACTATCTAGTACCTCCCAGCACTGTTAAGTGTCTGTGGGTGCTAAAATGTGTCCGCCTTGTCCCTGCCCACCACCATCCCTTAGCTGAAGTTGGAACAGGCCATCTTATCTGCCACAGCACAGAGCAGAAGGGCTGTTATATGAGGGATGTTCTAGAAGGCAGCCTTTTATCAAGAGAGGTTACCAAACTCCAAAGCATGACCGGTATCATTCTTACCTGCATTTTTAGCGGTTCAATGTGATTCAGGTAAATATGCGCATCTCCCAAAGTATGTATGAAGTCACCTGGCTAAATCGCACAGGAGCAAGCAAAATGGTAAATGTTTTTAGTTTCAATTCCTTTAAAACACATCATTTGAAAGCACATTATGTAGACTATGCAGACATTCCAAGGCTTTTTAGAAAAGAATTTCACCAGTGTAGCTTTTGAGAAAAGGTGGTATTCATAAGAGTTGTCTTATATTATAAACTATATAAACCTGCTTGTTTATACAGACCACAAAGACAGGAAAGCTCCATGGGAAGCTGCAAGGTGAGCAAGTTCATTTCTTAATTACCTAGAGCACATTTTAAAAGTAATCAGACACTGAATACTCTGCAATTAATTTTTCCACGTTGAAGAATCTAAGAGCTCAGTGCTTTAGGCTGGTAGCAATCATTCCTTCCAGAGAGCAGCTCACCTTCAGGCCTGTGATGTGTGCGATCATGTAGGTGAGCAGGGAGTAGCTGGCGATGTTGAAGGGTACACCCAGGCCCATGTCTCCTGACCTCTGGTACAACTGGCAGGACAGTTCACCGTTCACCACGTAGAACTGGCAAAGAGCATGGCACGGAGGCAGGGCCATCAGAGGAAGATCTGAGGAGCCAGCACAAAGGAAAATGAGGAGATGGTGGTTTTAAAGAATGCAGCTATACACAGAGTAAAACAGGAGAGAAACAGAAGACAACTCACATGGGGGAGATCATGAGAAAAAGCCACTGGGCCAGTGACCGCCCCCCCCCCCCCTTATGTCAAGAGCAGACCATTCCAATCCTGAGGATGGAACAACGCCTACGGTGACCCATCCATCAACAGAAGACTTCTGCAGATGTCCATTTACAACTGAAGCAACACTCTTTGATCCAAGTGGAAATTACTTGTGCTACCTTCATGGCACCAAACTACAAGTACAGGAGGAATTCATTCATTTACAAGGACCACAGGTGTGCATCTCAGGCACACCCTCCTGTATTCAAAGTCTCTATTATAAACGCAAATATTTGACTCTGGGTAATATTTATTACATCTTGGTCAGTTTAATTTTATAATATAACTGTTAAAATGTTAACAGCCAGGTGGCAGGGACATGAAACTTCATCTGCCCCAATTTAAACTGTTAAAATCCTTGGTGTATTTTTATAGGTAATTTAAAGCCCTCTTTGGAGTAAGAATAAGTATAAATACACACATAAAATCATCTGCATCCAACCCCATCATCTGAAGGTGAAAATGGGGCCAAGTGTGACCTGCCCAGGGTCGTATCAGCCATGCAGCTGAGGGTGGTGGTTCCCAGGATCCAGCCTCCTCTCGGTAGCCTCCATGCAAAGCTACATGGCTTCCCTTTGTGCTAATGTTACAGTTAGGACACGACAATAATTGGGATGCTTCCAACCTTTTGGATTCCAACCACACAGGATGATTCTTCTGTCATTGGGGTTGGTTTTGATTGTGTCAATCACCTTTTGCAGTTGATCTACTCCTTGACCTGAATAATCTGTAGAATCGTCAAAAAAGAGAAGACATGTCCACATATCAATCACAGGATCTTATGAGATGACCTTAGAGGCCATCTACCACTGTCCTACCACAGCCGCCCTGTGGCCACACTACAAGGTATCTAATCCACTCTACAAATTGCTTAGCTCTCGGGGGGTGATGTTGAGTTCAGGGCTCCTAGGTCTATTCTCTGGAGCCATAACAAAGTCTATTTTCTTTTCTATTGAGTCTTTTTTAAATATCCGGTCTGTCATGGTGCAATCCCTCCCCTTCCTAACCTTCTCCAATCCCAGCAATCGGTTTCTTCCAGTGGTCCCACAGACTGTCTCTATACCCATCAACCATTCTTGTCACACTTTGCTGCTGTGGAACATACTAACAAAAGACTGTGGGTGGATTCCCCTCTGTGATCTAGCATTATTTACATCTAAAATTAAAATTTAGCAGCCAAACCCCTGCTGATCCATAAACATCAGGAAACCTCTTTAACTATTACACCACCTTGTACTTTTCTCCCATTTCTGGTCTCTGGACTTTAATTCCTTGCCTTCTTCCTGAAATGGAACTGGAAGCTGAGAAGTCTGAGGAATGTGGAGCTTTATATTCACTCTGGTTAAACTTCCACTTATTGGTGTTGGACTAGGTTCTGGTCTAGCAGCTCTTAATTTTGGAGAGAACAAAGTTCTGTCACAATCACAGCTTCAGAAAAAGTAATAACAAAGATTAAAAAGGGGCGCCTAGGTGGCTCCGTTGGTTGAGCATCTGACTCTGGCTCAGGTTATGATCTCACGGTTAGTGGGTTCGAGCCCCACATTGGGCTCTGTGCTGACAGCTCAGAGCCTGGAGCCTGCTTTGGATTCTGTGTCTCCCTCTCTCTGTTCCTTCCCCTGCTCACATACTCTCTCTCAAAAATAAATAAAAGATTTAAAAAAAAAAAAAAAAAGATGCACCATGATGGCACAGTTCTAGATTTTGGTTGTGGTACTTACATAAATCTACAGGTGCTGTCAATGGTTTCTGTCCAGCTAGCAAACTATTACTTCCTATGTATGTGTACACACACACGCACGCACCCTGAGGAGGTAGGCATTTGCTTTTGCAACGCCTGGCCTATGGACAAGCAGGACAGGAAGGGTCAAAGGACTGGGGCAGGTGGTGCCACCAAATGACTGAGGAAGGTCACCATCCAGGAGTAAGATGTTTCATCTTCTTGTCCACCCCAGGAGGGCAGGGAGAAGAGGGTAACCCAAAAACTGCTATTACATAAGTTCCACCTAAAGGGTGCTGGGTGGCTCAGTATCAAAAAGGGAGATCAAGCCACCACAAGGCGATCCTTGTTCTTTTTGTCCCCCAGATGAACTCCTACCTTATTCCCCAACACAGCAACCAACTGACCAACCAGCAGACCAACTATCTGCTAGCAAAACAAGCTACAGAAAGTACCAAGCACCCAATAAAAACTAACAACCAAGAGTGTGATCTACCTGAATCTGAAACAGCCTCTCACAAGGTCAAAGTTCTAAATATATCAGCTCCCCAGACTGGCTTCTTACAACCCCAACTTCACTAGAAACAATGGAGCAAACTCATGCTATACCAGATGCTCAGGAAATTAAGGCTTTGCTCTGTTTTCTCACCTGAATCCTTATCTTTGTATTCTGCCCCAAAATGCCTCCACTGAAAGCCATAAACTGGGCCTAAATCCCCTTCTTCTCTGTTGGAGAATCCTAGGCTGTCCAAGAAGTTTCGGGACCCATTGGCATCCCAGATTTTCACTCCCTTGGATGACAGTTCCTTAGCGTTTGTAGATCCCTGGAAGAGACAGGACAACAGAGAAGGCATCCAAGTGAACTGAGCCATAAGGAGTTGATAGCCCAAGAGCTTCCCACCAATTAGGCCTCTGGCCCGTGCTAACACACCAGGGACAGGCACTCACACGTCCTGCACAGCTGGACCTCCCATCTTTAAAGGCCAGTCCCAGCTGACTTTTTGAGGGCCTCTAGGGCAGTTTTCTGGTATCACTTCCAGGACAGGTGATTCTTGGAATTATTACCCTTTCAAATCTTTTCTCCTATTCTTCTCAACTAAATGTTCTAGATTAAACACCTCCAAACCCTTTCATTATTCCCACCTCGCCTAACAGTCTTGTGCTTTTTAACAAAATGTGTGTCTAAGTGTGATCCCCCAAAATGCACTTAATGCCTCACCTGCAGTCTGTTCAGTGTATCTTAGACCTGGTTGGTACATAGGCTATTTCACTAATTGGTGTAATCGGTATCAGCTTTTCTTGCAAATCTATCATGCACATTATATGTGGCACTGTCGAGTTATGTTTACCCCAACCTATATATGCAGTTAAGGTGGTGTTTTGTTTTTTCCCAAGTACGAGCCCATGTTTATTTCTTATATTTAATCTCATCAGATGTGGCCCATATCATCCTAACCTATGTCCTGATAGTGCCTCCAGGTCACAGACAGATCTCAACGGCCTCTGGGTAGGACATGCTGTAATGGGGACAAGCAAGGCTGTGGTGCCACACACACACACCGGGGCTCTGTGCCTGCCCTCCACGACCCTTCTCTGACAGCTCCCTGACCCCCTGCCCTTGCTATCTCCATCCACAGAAGAGCTCAGTATTCCCCACACACAGTAGTGTGAGGGTAGAGGACACAAAGTGCTCAGTGCACCACAGATCCTAACTTCAGCACAGACCCCGTCTCTCCATCCTGCCCACGGATGCCAGCAGCAGTGCAGGTTCATTCTGACTCCTGTGTTTCATCCAGTCACCCAGGGAGCAACTCTATCAGAGGGGAGCCTGACACGTTCCTGGTAAAGGGTTCTTAGAATCCTGAATTCAAACTAAATTAAAACAAGTGACTGCATTTATTTCTGAGCATCTCATTTCCTCCCTTCTGTTTTTGTTTATACTTTTTCCACCTCCAAGACGTCATTTTTCTATCTTTCCCACATTGCTTCAAATGTCTCCCTTTTATATCCATTCAGACTGGGCACTAGATGGTTTATAAATGTCATCTGAGATTTCTGATGACGTGCCTGGAACTAGACACTCACTGTCAGCTGAGAGAAGACAACACGGAAGAAAATGCCTCAAGAATATAGAACTAAGCAGGGGCCCCTGGGTGGCTCAGTCGGTTAAGCATCTGACCTCGGCTCAGAGGTCATGATCTCACAATTCGTGGGTTCGAGCCCCGCATCGGGCTCTGTGCTGACAGCTCAGAGCCTGGAGCCTGCTTTGGATTCTGTGTGTGTGTCTGCCCTTTCCCCGCTTGTGCTCTCTCAAAAATAGATAAATGTTAAAAAAAATTAAAAAAAAGAACATGGAACTAAGGAAGACTGGATTGGATCGAATTCCAAACCCTTTCTAAAATGCAGTAGGAAGTCTTGAGTTTGGTTTGGCCCAAGATCATACAAGCCACACAGAGTGCTCTGTAGAATGGATCCCGGTTTCTACACAGCCCAGAACTGAGCCCATCTCCTCAGGCACCCTCTGACCAGCACTGGCCAGAATATTACCAGCCTGGACCAGGAGACAGAGCAAGAGGAAGCTGTCCATCATCACAGCACCTTAGCCCTTACCCAAGGTACCTACCTGGCTCTTTAGAAGAGGTATAGCTTGTTACTCAAGAGATCATTCTAGCTTATACAAATATGAGAACATGGTTGGGATCCATATTCAGTGATCAATCTATGTTGAGTATCTACTATATGGCAGGCTATGTTCTAGGCCCAGGGAATAAAAAGTGAACAGGAAAAAACAAATTCTCTGCCCTCATGGAGCTTCTAATACATTTTACTTGTTCATTTGTTGTCTACTTTCCCCCTTCCAGGGGGGAAAGGGGAGGACACACATCATACATCAGCTGATGATGTTTCTCTGCAGAGAAAACAAAGGAGGGTAGGAGGAGGGTGTGTGTATGTCGGGGAGGGAGGGGGGATAATCAGTCTTAGATGGGAAGGTTAGGGAAGGCCCACTGAGCAGAGACTTGAAGGAGGTGAGGGAGTGAGTCATGCTGCATGTAGGGGAAGGCTCCAGGGAACAGGACTGGCAAGTTCCAGAGCCCTAGGTGGCAATGTTCTGATGTGCTCAAAGTTTAGTAAGGAGGCCAGGTGGGTGGAGCAGAGTGAGCAGCAAGCCAGCTGAAGCCAGAGCTGGGACAGGGGCCCCTGGCTCTTACTGTGTGAAATGGGAGCCACTAAGGGCTATAGGTGAAGAATGACATGATTTGACTTTTTAAAGGATCTCGCTGGTGCTGGGTTGAGAACAGACTGTTGATTCCCAATAGCAGCAGCTTCTTTACCTTGATAAACCACAGCAACTCCTCCAAAACACCCTTCCAGAATACACGCTTGGTTGTCAGTAGAGGAAATTCATCTGAAAAACAGTTTGCCAGATAATTTCAAGATGGGAAAACAGAGGACACCATCCAACTTTCTCTGTAGAGGAAAACTGCCCCAGGACACAGGCCTTTGAGTGACCACAGGAGCAAGCAGGAAATTTTGACTCTAGTCACGTGGGTACCCCAGACCAGGGTGGAGCTCACAGGATACAGCGAAGTCAGTGACCCAATTCAGAGGAGACTGCCCTCCTGAATCCCTTGACCACCACAGGAATTCCACACTGAGATGGAACACTGGCCAGGCAGGATGCCCATGTGGACAGGGAAAGAACTACATCCACTTGCCAGCTAGTGTGAATCCTTCAGAGAAGTGTGAAGACAACACACAAAATGTGCCCTAGGACAAAGGCTGAAGGCTCCCAGGGCTATTCCGTGATTATCCTGCCAGGGAAAACTTACTCAGGTCCAGGAGACAGTAGATATCACACTGGCCAAAGCTAAAGAATAGTTATTAATTATCTGCAAAGCAAATTAACCTCTATTATTTAAGTGTACCAAAAATAATAACTGTTTAAACACTTGATATGCATGACAAAACAACTTTGTTTGAAGCATCCTTAAGATCACCATTTTATAGGCACCAGGAGGGAATATACAAGCTTGCATCAAGCAACAGATCAAAATATAAAAGCTTATCTCTAAATGTGGTACCTATTCAGTTCACCTTATCAGTTGTATAGTTGCTATACATGTAAAAAGGACAGATTTTTTTTCAAGTACTTTTATCAGTACTGCCTACTGAGCACGATTTCCTCCATTTTAAGTACAGGAGGAAGTTGAAGGAACTTGCAGAAGGGCTGGAGTAAAAGCTAGGTCTTTGGGTCACTGGAGGCCACTGTGTGGAGCGGCAGGAGGGTGGATTCCTCTGTAAGGCAGATCAGCCACTGCAGCCTGGGTATTTTCCAGTCTCTAAAATGGGTGTGGGGTTAAGTGTGGGTCCTCCCCTGCCCACCACAGTGCTTCACTAATAGTAGGTCTCCCTACTTAAAACCATCTCCATACCCGTGTCAAGGATACCTGTCTTGTGCCCACCCCCACCCCACCCCTTTGTCCCCTGAAAGCCTGACTCTAACAACCCCCAAGAGACACTTCCCAGGGGCCATCCTGTTTTGAAGGAAAACAGGAATAAGAACTTCTTCTACTCGAACTCTTCGCTTTCCTGTTTCAACGTTTAAGAGGAAAGCTGGTTCGTTAGGACCAGACCGGAAAAATGGTCAGGAACCACAAGTTCCCGCCCAGCTTCTGTATTCACTCTCTCCTCCGGCCGCCTTTGACCCGCCCATATTCCTTCGCTCCAATTTTTTAAAACTGCAAAACCAAAGGGCCAACACAGGGGGTGGGGGCGGGGAGGGTAGAAAAGAGGAGTCAAAAAGGGCAACCTCTAAGCCAAGTCCGTGGTCAAGCCCAGGCAAATCCTCTCCCATTTTCTGGTATGAGGTCAGCACTACCAGCCCGTGTCCGCTCTGGGGCAGAGAGCGTGACCGGGATGCGCAGGCCTTGGCGCCAAAGGACGTGGTTTTACCTCCCAATTCTGTCACTCCCGTCCGCGTGACTTTACGCAAATCATTTCTCTAACCCGAACCTCAGTTTTGGCGTCTGCAAAGCACGGGGGTTAAGGAGCTCACAGGATCGAGGTTAGGACTAAAGGCTGGTGGCGGGACCCAGCCTCTCCCGGGCGCTCCTCCAGAGGCCGCTCGGAGCCCACCCGTGCGCACGCCCACTCGCCCGGCGCGCGCAGCGGTCACCTCTCAGGCTGTAGCGCGCCTGCATGCCGAACACCGACAGCGTGCCGGTGCCGGTGCGGTCATCCTTCTGGAACCCGCAGCGCAGGATGTGCTCCACCTGCCCCAGGTACTGCAGCTCCCCGTGGGGTGGCGGCTGCGGCTGCGGCTGCGGCTGCGGTTCGGCTACCCGCTTCTGCTCGGCGGGCTGCGCCGGCGGGCGCTGCAGCTCGGAGCCGGGAGCGGGCATGGCGCGGGCGCAGGCTGCGGGGTCTAGGACGCGGACGGCGGCGAGCAGCGCGCGACTGGCTAGTAGGTCCAGACCGTTCTGCGCGCTTTTTTTCCCGCCGCCGCTGCGGTGACTCCGCCCCTTCCTGCCTCGTGACGTTGGCCGGCACTGGGGCTCCCGGCGTCCCAAGGGCGCGCCGAGCCACAAGTTGCCCAGAGCGCGCGCTCCGGGAAACGTGCCAGAAACCTGAAGCTGTGGTGTTTAGCGCCTTTAAATGCTAACAACCTAAGTCCTGTATCTTGGTGCATTGGCTGGAAAAGGCCACTCTGGTTAGAAAGTTTCGCGTTCACCGCGCCATTTATTTTTATTTAAAAAAATTTTTAAATTAACATTTATTTAGTTTTTGAGAGTCAGAGAGAGACTGAGCACGAGCAGGGGAGGTGCAGAGAGAAGGAGACACAGAATCGGAAGCAGGCTCCAGGCTCTGAACTGTCAGCACAGAGCCGGATGCGGGGCTCGAACCCACGAACCGTGAGATCGTGACCCGAGGTGAAGTCAGTCGCCCAACCGATTGAGCCACCCAGGAGCCCCCACCGCGCCATTTAATACTAAGAGGAGCCTGGAACAGTCCTCACGTATTCATGAAATCAAAAACAAACAAAACCCTATTATTTGACCAGGCTGTCAGGCGCTGTGCCTTCCCGTTTTTCCCTATCCTCACCGAAGGCCAGTAGCTGGAGGAAGTGGAATAGGCCCATTTTTTTACTTGATTAATGACAGCCAGCCATTCTCAAGTTTTTGACAGCAAAATTTCACTTACTGTGAAATGTTTCTAATGTAAACACTGTTGGGTAAGAGCAATTTGATAATTAGTTTAAAATGTAGAAGGGGTGCCTGGCTGGCTCAGTCAGCAGACCATGGATGGGACTCTTGATCTTAGGGTTGTGGGTTACAGCCCCATGTTAGGTGTGGAAATTACTTAAAAAGAAAATCTTTAAAAAAAATAAAATGTACTAATACGTGGACATGCAATAAGCAGTCTTTTAAAAAATTTATTTATTTATTTTTTTTAATTTACATCCAGGTTAGTTAGCATATAGTGCAACAACGATTTCAGGAGTAGATTCCTTACTGCCCCTTACCCATTTAGCCGATCCCCCCTCCCATAACCCCTCCAGTAACTCTGTTTGTTCTCCATATTTAAGTCTCTTATATTTTTGTCCCCCTCCCTGTTTTTATGTTATTTTTGTTCCCATTCCCTTATGTTCATCTGTTTTGTATCTTAAAGTCCTCATATGAGTGAAGTCATACGATATTTGTCTTTCTCTGACTAATTTCAACAAGCAGTCTTTTGAATCAACAACTTTTTTTTTAGCACATAGTAGATGCTGAATGTATTTTTTGTTGCTGGGTCTGGGGTTATGAAGAGTAAGATGTTGGCACTGAATGAAACATACCAAACACTATTTCTTTCCGTTCAATAAAGTCAACTTTTTTTCTTTTTTTTTCTCCCCGGGT